AGAGACCGGTCCGCTCACTGGTTGAGCGCGGTGTGGGCGCGACACTGAGGGTTGCGATCCCGTTGCCAGTTGCGGTACGGGTGTGACGCCGAGGGTTGCGATCCCGTTACCGGTCACGAAAAAAAAAAAGACAAAAAGGAAAAAAATTTAAAAAAAAACCTTCCAAAATATACTCAGACACCGAGGGTTGCGATCCCGTTACCGGTCACGAAAAAAAAAAGACAAAAAGGAAAAAAATTAAAAAATAAAAAAAAAACCTTCCAAAATATACTCATATTCTGTCTGATTGACACCACACTAGCAAAAATTCCAGAATATTTTAGGCCTGTGCAGAAGACAAGGCAGACTTATGGATAGGAATTTGGACCGGTAAAATTCCCAGGTCAGGAACTCCCCGAATTTCTTTCCTATCTACAAGTTTGGTGTTTAAAAGACATTGAGAGCCTGTTGGAACATTCTTTATATTCTTGTTTACCTTCAGCAACTTCAGGGATCAAATTGAAAAATTTATGAGGAAATGAGTAGTCTCATACCTCAAGCTGTGCCGAAAATTAATGTCCTTCTCCCTACATCTTTTTTCTATGCTGTAAAAATTTCTAATGTGCTAAAAGGCATAACAAATAATATGATAAAACTGCCACGAAACCATCACCCAGCTGAAGAAATAAAACATTACAAATGCAGTTCAAGTGCACTGCATGACCTGCAACATACTCTCTCTCCCCAGAGATGTCCACAACCCTGAATTTTCATATGCATTTCATTATAGTTTTAATACATGTGTATGTTGCTTATATGAAATGTAGCAGTATAGCTTTCTGTTTTTAAACTTTATATAAATATAAGCAGTACCACTCTATACAAGCATATTTCAAAAAGTTCATGGAAACATGGAATTAAAAGATAATGTGAATCTTCCCATGAACTTTTTGAAGACCCCTCATGTAGCACATAGAATACAGCTTTTTTCTTCATTATGATTTTGAATCATCAGTGTCGATACCTATAGCTCATTTATTCTCACTGCTGTATAGTATGCATTATATGAATATAAAACAATTTATATATATTCTTCTCCCATCACTTGGTATTGTCCAGTTTTCTTTTTAACTTTTGCTAGTCTGATAGGTGTGAGATGGTATCTCTTTGTAGTTTACTTGTCAGTTGAGCATTTTTTCATGTTTATTGCCCCGTCAGGTTTGCCCTTGTGTGAAATTGCCTATTTATATCCTCTGCTCATATTTCTGTTGGGTTGTCTTTTGCTTATTGATTTGAAAGAGCTGCTTATTCTAAATATTACTTCTCTGTTGAGTATATAGATTGCAAATGTTTTCTCCCACCTGAGAGCTTCCTTTTCTACTTTTTCTTGGTGTCGCTGACTGAACAAAAGATGTTTTTGTTAATTTGATGTAGATGAATTTATCAATATTTTCCTATATGATTTGTGCTTTCTGTTTCTTTTGGGAAATCTCCATCCTAAAGTCATAAAACACACTCTTACATTTCCTACTGAAAGTTTTCAGGTTTTGCTTTTTACATTGAGAAATTGATTTTTGCATATGTTTTAAGTAAAGACCCATTTTTTATTTTATTCATATGAACAATCAATTGTCCTAGTGCTGTTTATTGAATAATCCACTGTTAAGTATCAGGTTTCCGTAAATGCAGGATTTATTTCTCCATTCTCGCCTTTCTTTCATTGCTCTGTTTATCTTGACTTTAATATCACACTGTCTTGATCACTGTGCTGTATTCTGATATCCTCACTTCAGGTGTGAGTTGCATTTATACCTTATTCTCCCACATTAATATGGATATCCTTGGGTCTTTGATCTTCCACAGCTTGTAGAAGCACCTTGTTAAACCATGAAAAGTCCTGATAAGAGTGTTAATGAAATTGCTTGAATTTATACATTAATTTGGAACAAATTAACATCTTTTTTTACATCAGTTACTCCTGTTCGTGAATATGGCATATTTTTCTCCCTTTAGTCATATTTAATGATTCTCAATAATGTTTTATAATTTTGGGTGGGGTTTTTTGTAGTATTGTACATTTTTTGTTAGATTTATTTGTTGGTGTGTTATTTATAAAGCAATTGAAAATACTGCATTTTTCTAATTATGTTTTCTAACCAATTGTTGCTGGTGCTTAGAAATGCAATTGATTTTTGTATACTTGTCTTATATTTAACCATCTTGCTTAACTCTTTTGTTAAGTTCAATAATATGTCTATGTGTTCTTTTGGGTGTCTATGAGGACAATCATCATCTGTGAAAAATGACAATTTTTTTTCTTCTTTTTAATTCTTATATATTTATTTCTGCTCTTTGTCCACTGGTCAGTACCTCCAGAACACTGTTAAAAGTAGGAGCATTGATAGCTGGCTCCTTTGTGTCATTCCTGATTATAAAGAAAATGATTCTAACATTTCACCATTAAGTATACTATTTGCTCATGATGTATACTATTTGTTAGTTGATGCCTTTATTAGGTTAAGAAGGTTCCTATCTATTCCCGATTTTCAAAGTTTTTACCATCTCTATATCATTAGGTTTAGATAATGACTTTAGTAACAAAAGAATTTGGAGTGACTCTCTCAGTTGATACATAGTTTCCTTCCATAAAGCCTGGAAACCTGTCGAGGATGTGAAATGTAAACCCTTGAGGAGTCATAATTTTTCCCAAGTGTCACACTTCTCAGTTTCTAATAGTATCCTTTTAGCTTCCACATCCTCAGCATCCTATTTATCAGTGGAAAGAATCAGGGAGAGGTGAAGAGCATTGAGTTCATTTAACCCATGGCCATATTCCAAAAAAGATCCTAAGTAATGTGAAGACTGGCTAGGACATTGTGTTTCATCTCTGACTCATTGGGGGAGATGATGCCAGCCACGTGGCCAATCTGAACTTTGCTTTCCTCTTGATAAAATTGCATTCCCATTGCAGCCAAGTTGATGTGTGCACTCTCTGTCTCTCTCTCTCTCTATGTGTGTGTATATATGTATAATTTATTTTATATATGTGTGTGTGTGTGTATATATATGTATATTCTAACTTCACCATTATGAAAATTGCTACAGTGGACATCTGTATTCATAAAATTTGTCAAAAGAATGAGTCCCTGAGATGGTTTTAATTTTTAAGTAATTTTTGAATAAGTAATGTAATCAAATGGTTCAAAATTCAGAAAGTGCAAAAGTTATATGTGAAAAGAATTTCTCCTATCAGTTCCTTTCCACAGAAACAATTAATGTTACCTGTTTGTTGTATATCGTTCCAAAGATACTCTGTGCATATACAGACCAATATTTGCTTATATATATTCGGTCCTCAGTATCTGCAGGGTATTGGTTGCAAGACCCCCCATGGGTACCAAACTGCAAGGATGCTCAGGTCCCTTACAGTCAGCCCTCCATACCCACAAGTTCTTCATCTGCAGATTCACCAAATCCATGGTTGATTGAATCTGTGGATGTGGAGCCCCATGGATACAGAGAGGCAACTGTACATGTTCATTTTTTGGTCCTCTTTTTACCCAAATAGTAGTATAGAGAAACAGGATTTGACAATCCCACTGATAATTGAGTTTGCAGGCATTTTAAAGATGGAAGTATGGTTTTTGAAATGTTTGTGCAAATAGTGAGTGTCAGCTATAATTAACTTCCACAGTAGACCTCCCTCTATATATTGTTTGATTTCTTGCTTTTTTCACTTAATTTTTGTGAACATTTTAAAGCTACTGAAATATAGGCATCATTCCATATATTAAACTTGCCCCCAAGATATATAAAACTCAGAACCAGGGGCCGGCCCGTGGCTCACTCGGGAGAGTGTGGTGCTAATAACACCAAGGCCATGGGTTCGGATCCCGTATAGGGATGGCCGGTTAGCTCACGGGGCCGGCCCGTGGCTCACTCGGGAGAGTGTGGTGCTAATAACACCAAGGCCATGGGTTCAGATCCCGTATAGGGATGGCCGGTTAGCTCAAGCTCACTGGGTGAGCGTGGTGCTGACAACACCAAGTCAAGGGTTAAGATCCCCTTACCAGTCATCTTTTAGAAAAACAAACAAACAAACAAACAAACAAACAAACTCAGAACCAAAAAGTACATGGAGAAATGGATATAGTCATTTTTGGAGGACACAATTTGGCAATATTTATTAAGAGTCATAAAAATGTCCACATTCAAAAGTTCTACATCTTTCAATTGTAGGTATCAAAAGTATCCAAACAGAATTGATTTAAGCCTGGCTGTGGATAACTTAAATGTACCTGCCTACTATGCAGGCATCAGAGCCAGCCCTTCTGAGCAGGCCCTGGACAGGCTGAGCTCCCGGGCACCTGCCTGGGAAACACTGTGAAGCTCAGTGGTTTTCCAGATCTCCTCTAGTTTTAAGTTAGTGAGTGATATACGTCAGCTGTGCGTTGCCCCCTTTCTATTATGTAGCTACTCAAAGCATTCTGCTGCAGAATCTGCTCTCATCCACTTTATTGGAATCGTGAGACTAAAACTAGATAACAAAAATTTAAAGTAATGGTTTCTCTTCTGATAAAGATGTTATTTCTGATTCTCCATGCAACCTTTAAAAGGAATTCTCTGGCCATATTATTAAATGTAAATTCTTGTTGGCAAGTTATGAAATCATGCCAGTGTGGCTTTTAGAACTTGGAATTAACACATTGTTTTGTTGCCACCTATTAGGCTTAATTTCAGATATAAATGGCTTAGTATCTTCTTTCAGATTTCAGTTGACAGCTAGAAATGGAGACCCTTAAAATGTGCCAAGGCGTGAAGAATTGTAAGCACAGTCCAAACCTGGAGGGCTCTTGAACGTTCTGACCATTTCCTTTTACCTCCCTGTTGTGAAAGTAATTTTCTTGATTAAATCCTCGAATTCAAAAGTTCTCATTTGACAACTACTTCATTTTTAAAAGGTAGACGTTTCCATGGCTAGAGAAATTTATCTCCTAACTTATCTCTGCCAATTTTTAGGGAACAATGTATTTTTTTCTTCCATTATACTCAGAGTTCTTTTCAAAAGTTAACCAAAAAGTTCCCTTTCAACAGAAGTTGTTGTATGATCGCCACATTAGCAGCAGTACATTTCTTAGTACTTTTAAAAATGAGAAATCACACCTTGTATAACCCATCTGTAATCTAGTTGCAGGAGTAAAAATGTTTGTGTGTGTATGAGATTATTAGACTCCAAATATACTTCTCTAAATGAAGGTGAAGACCTACGTGACTTAGAGTAGAATTAATTATATAAAAATCTGAACTACCTGAGGAAATGAAAATAAAGGTAGAAAAGTTTTCCTTTGAGAAAAAGGTTGAGAAGAACTGGCCAGCCGCCATGCAGACGCTTGCCTGGGCTGTTTCTCATTCAGAAGGTCCCTCCCCCTTGCCTGGCCTCCCCTCCCCCAGAGTCTAATCAAAGGATTAGCCTACAGGTTTGGAAACAGCAGCAGCTTGAGTTGAAGGCTTTTCCCCCACCCCGTTCTTGTGTTTAAATGCAGGAATTAGAGAAGTCTTTGGCCAACTGGACTCAGAACTTGAAAGAACTTCAGACTATGAAGGCAGACGTAACCCAGCACATTCTTGTGGAAGACGTGATGGTTTTGAAGGAGCAAACGGAACACTTGCACAGACAATGGGAGGACCTCTGCTTAAGAGTAAGTCAGTGAACTGCAGGGCACGGCTGTTTGGGAGTCGATTGAAAGTCTCCAAGGCCTGACAAAGCAGAAGGGAGCTTGATTGCATGGAACCAGCAGTCACTTTTCAGTGGGACCCCTGGCCAGCCGCTGTTCGCTTAGAAGGCAGCAACATGGTTTCACAGATTTGACCCTTTTGTTTCTCTAGCACTAAATGCTGGAACTTTGCACGCTTTTAATGAGCTTCGTGAAAAAATCACTTTAAGTGGGGACAAAAATTGCAGTTGTGAGCAGATATATGGCTCTGCTGTCTGGCTGGCGTGGATGACAAGTACTAATGAGTATATTAGAATCAGGACTCGGCCTCACTGCAGTATCTCTTCTGGGCCTAACAGCAGGACTCAGTGTGCGGGCAGGCGGGGGCATCTTACAAGAGAACTCCACATTCACGTGCATGCTGATGTTTACTTCAGGTAGTTGGCTTCTCAAACTCTCATAAAGAAATAATCAACTGCTATACTTCGTATCTCAGCTGATCACTTCTATTTATTAAGATAGGATTGTGGTTAGAGTATTATACCGTGTAAGTTTGTGACAGGGTTGGGATGGAATTAAAGGGTTCAAATAGATCTTCGTTTTAAGAACCTATGATTCTAAGGATAATAAATTCCTTAATCTCATTTTTGTGAATTAAGACGAAATGGATTTAAAAAGTTGAAATTCAGACACTTTTGACTGCATTTTAATAAAGTAAAAACACTTTTTCTCTCTTGATTTTAGGATTTAATATTCAAAGTGTACCCCCATTTTAAATGTTCTTTTAGAATTTTTATTCAAATTTTATGTAAAAGAAAATGTTTAGAATATGTGAAAATTATCTTAAAAGTTAAGGTAGACACAAAGACTAGGGCCCAGATGTTCCTAATTTTTGCCATTATGAAATCAGTCTGAATGACGCTATGCAAAATGCCAGGATTTTTAAAAGCTAAGATAAACAGATGCCCAGAGTAATGGAAACACAAAACTTGTTTTTTTAGGGATAGTTTTTCAAGCCTTTTTAACACATTTGTCTGGGTAGAATGTACAAGAGTCTGGTATTTTTGCCTTACTTTGAAAAGAGCAGAAGGTTTTTTTGTACATAGTAGGAAAATCTCGGGAATTCAACCTTGGTTTCCCCATCAATTAAGTGGGGTGTTAAAATTTTACCAAACTCTTAGCTACATCCTTTCAGCTGTAAGATTTTAAAGACCTGGGAATACTTTTGTACATTTAGTAAGGCTGATTTGCATTATTTAAATTTATATTTATTTACATAATAAATTTTAACCCTATAAGGGTCCGGAGGACCCTTTGTTGTCATCAGGTTAGAGGTTGCTTGTACATAAAGGAGCACTGGGTATTTTGGAGTCACCCTGCTTGCTGCAGACAAGTTTTGGGTGACATTTCTGTGGTTTCTATCCAAAAGCCTCAGTTCATAATGGGAAGGTGGGTTAAATGAGTGATGTGCATTGGTTTTCTGTTTTATTTTTTGCTTTATTTTGAAGCATAAAACTAGAGCATTTAAGGAACTTTAATTTTCCTAGCCCATTCGCATTGCAAATGTTTGATTTATATTGTAATCTGGATTATAGTTTTAAAATTAAATAAGCAGAACATTGGCCTTATGTAGGTATAAGGACTTGATCAATTTTTAAAAGGGAGAGGATTTGGGTCATAAAGTTATAAATTAGCATGTAGGAAGCAGTTCAAAGATGAAACAGATAAAAAAATTTTTGTGATACTACATATATTCATCTCATCTTTCCTGTTTCTAATTTTTTAATACAACCTGATAGTAATGGGTATGTATTTGGTAAAATTCAATCCTTTTAGTCAGGTACAGTCTTTACTTTGTTACTTTTTATGGCATTTATCAAAGGTGTAAAGAGCGTCTATTGACATTAAACCCTAGGTTTTTAAGAGACAAAAACATAGGAATTTAAGCTACTGGTTAAAATGAATGAAATTCATAGTCCTTTTGATGGGGGGAGGCAAGGGAGTGCTTTCCTTCCTGGCTACCCTCGGTGCCAAGTGCATTTTCATTCACAGGTGGCTATACGCAAACAGGAGATTGAAGACAGACTCAACTCATGGATCGTGTTCAATGAAAAAAATAAAGAGCTGTGTGCGTGGCTGGTGCAGATGGAAAACAAAGTTCTACAGACAGCAGATATTAGTATTGAAGAAATGATTGAGAAGTTACAGAAGGTGAGCCGGGATGCCCGGAGGATGCTGTTCTGACTACCATAGAATACTCTGCCTTCCTTACTCCCAGACTCAAAGAGGTATAACGTGACAAGTGTGTTTCCAGTAACATCTTAGAAACAGGAAGCGACTTTCTCACTATGAAAAGTTGGAAGAGAGAAGATTCCAGAGAGGTGGGAAGTATGAGACCATTCTAGGCAGGCGTGGTACTAAGGAGAGTTGCTTTCTGTTGGTTAGGAAATCTGGCCGGGGAAGGAGCTCACACCTCCTTCAGCATCAGTTCATGCCGCAAGTGAGTTGCCATTACTCTAGTTGTTTTGTTAAGGAGCTCCCCTTGCCAGAGGGGAGAGGCCAACAGCAAAGAGGCTCAGAATTTTGAAACGGGCACTAATCTCCATGCAGAAAGGTAATGAGAGCATCTTATTGCAATCACCCAAAACGCCACTCAGTCAAACCTTGGGAAAAACGTACTGGTATTAGGCCAATTTAGTTATGCTAACTTCTTCTCGGCTCCCAAGTGGGCTAGATTAGAAGAAATCTTTGAGGGGAAACAGAGGAGCTGTTGGATTAAGAAGGTAGCTACTGCCTTACATGTCTCACATTTGCCTGGTGGGCACTGCCTGGCTTTTAGCTACTCACTGAAGAGTTGCATTAGCAGATATGAGAATTTTTTAATTTTTAAAAAAAAATATCAAGAGGCAGCTGTGTGTCTGTGGCTGGAGAAGAAATGAATTTTTGGTGATAATTCAGGCTTTGTGTTTTGGTCCCTTTGCCAGGACTGCATGGAAGAAATAAACTTGTTCAGTGAAGACAAGTTACGGTTAAAGCAAATGGGTGACCAGCTGGTCAAGGCCAGCAACAAGGCAAGATCAGTGGAGATTGATGACAAGCTCAACAAGGTTAATGACCGCTGGCAACATCTTTTTGACGTCATTGGCTCAAGGTAAGAAATGGCCTGAATACGATTCTTCCTCCCAGGGTACAGTGTATATTTCACAGGTCTTGTAAACTGAGCCCCACCTTCCTCGAAGGCAGTCCAGCAGTTCTATAAATTTACAGATTGAAACGTTTGGTGAAAATTCTTATTTCAACACTGTAGGAAAATTGTATTTTAGTGTGGCCCACTTTTTTTTTTTTTTTGTTTTTTGTTTTTTTTTTTTTTTCCTTTTGGCAGCTGGCCGTTAGGGTATCCAAACCCAACACTGCACTCTAACCAACTGAGCTAACCAGCCGACCCCCTAGTAGTTTTTGTTTTTTTTTTTTTTTCCTTTTGGCAGCTGGCCGTTAGGGTATCCAAACCCAACACTGCACTCTAACCAACTGAGCTAACCAGCCGACCCCCTAGTAGTTTTTGTTTTTTTTTTTTTTGTCTTTTGTCTTTTTTTTTCCGTGTCCGGCAACGGATCGCAACCCTCAGTGTTGCCCCCAGACCGGACCAGGGACCGGCAACGGGATCGCAAGCCTCGGTGTTGCTCCCGCGCCTCGCTCAGCCAGTGAGCGGGAACCGGTCTGCATATGGGATCCGAACCCTCGGACGGGAGCGCTGCCGCGCTTCCCAAGCGGTGCACTATCCAGTGCGCCACCGGGCCGGCCCACTTTGATTTCTTTTCTTTTTTTTTTTCCTTTTGGCAGCTGGCCGTTAGGGTATCCAAACCCAACACTGCACTCTAACCAACTGAGCTAACCAGCCGACCCCCTAGTAGTTTTTGTTTTTTTTTTTTTTAGCTAAAATTTCTTATGAATTAGATTTGTTTTAAATGAAAGTTGGAACTTATTTTGAAAAGGGGTCCTTGACTTAGAATTATTTAGAACTTCTGACTCGGCTTTAGCATTTGCATGTCCCCAGATGAAATCATGCCTGCTGTTCCTGCCCCAGTGTGGCCAAGCAGTGTGGCCTGCTCTCTAGAGGCTGGTCTGGGGCCCTTGACTGCCTCCACCACAGGGGCTTAGCACACTCGAGGCAGGGATCCTCAGTAAGCATTTGTGCCCAGTGTGCCACACCCCCGATGGCGTCTTGTCCATTGGAGAATATAGCTTTGATTTGTGGTCAGAGCCTTGTCCTAAGGTTTGCCTTGGGCACAGGTGTGACCACAAATCAAAGCTATTTTCTCCAGTGCGATCTTAGCAGAAATAGAGCTTGTAATTTTATCTCCCCTCACAAAGTAATAATATGATGATAATGAAGTGTTTTTCAGCTGCAACCTCAGTACAGAGAACAGTCACTCGGCCTTGGGGCCACTTACGCAACTTAGTGTTTCCACGGACCCAGCCAGTCTTTTACATAACATTATGCTCAGATGTTTTGAACATACACGATTTAGAACATACAGGAGGACCTGCAAGGTGAATGAAGAATTGGGCAGTAGTGAAAATAAAAAACTCTTAATCATTTGGCATATCCTTTATCTCATTGTTTACTGGAAACCATAAATGAACCTAATTCGGTCAGCAAAGGCACCCAACTAAGTGCTGTGAGAATTACAGGCAGGAAGTAAGCTGAGTCAGTTACATTCGTGGGAGCGGATATCTGAGCAGCTGTAAGCCAAGGTGTTTGAGAGCTCAGATCACATCTTCCTGGGAGCGTAGGGGTAGGGTTAGGAAAAGTCTTACAGAAGGGCTGCATTCCCAGATGGTCCTGAATGTGAGGGGGTTGGAGTTCTTGACAGTTCCTGGTGGCAGACAGGGAGACACAGGTTGTGAGCAGACAGGAACAGGGGTGGAGCAGCACCAAAGCCATTCAGCAAATAACAAGAAGCCCCTTTGGCCCCAGGGTAGGAAATGGAGCTAGAAAAATAGGCTGGCGCTAAAAGACTTTAAATCTCAGCTAAAGACTTGGCCTCCTGGATAAAGTCTGAGTCATTCATGGTTTTTTAGCAGTGCAGGGGCTGCTGAAGACAAAAATGAGGATGATTTGGCTGGCAGCATAGGCTGGGCTGAATTCGACTTCTCTCCACAGCCAGCTGAAGAAAACATCTACAGAAATCCATGGCGGTAACCTAAGGGTTAAGAGCACAGGTTTTGAACCATTCCTGATTTTACAACTTACTATGGAAACTTGAGTACATGATTTAACTTTTCTAAGCCTCAGTTTCCAAATCTGCAAAATGTGTCTGACAGCACTGCTTACAGCCGAGGCTGCCTGCCATCCACAGAGAGAATGAATGATGTGTTTCACAGGTTTGGTGCAGGACCAGCACAGCACATAGGAACCAACGTTTATGGAGTGATTATTTTCATGGTTTTTTCCTATGAAGATACTAAGATTAAGTAGCACGTTTGTTGAGAAGAGAATTCCCTTGGCTCTGTCCAGTAATGAGAGGTCTCTCCTCCATGAAGCCAGTGCTTTAACTGTCTCGTTCCCAAGGCTTAGAATGGTGCTTCAGATATTTGTTGAAATGAATGCATGTTCCAGTGCATAAGAATAAGATCATTTCCATCGGGTAAATTGTGTCTTTGTTGTCATCATCTTTGTGTCCTAAGTCATTTTGGGCACCCAGCACTAGTTGAGGTTACGATGCCATCCTGCCTGTTTATGGATCATTCAGGGGCAAGGTCTAACTTCTCCTTCCTGAAGAGCAGAGTGACAGTCCCTTCCTAATCACTCGTGCTCTGGTTGTGTCACTTTGGACTTTAACAGGCTGTTTTCTTTCTTCTCTGCTTCTTTGGCTGCCTGTCCTCAGCCAATGCCTTGGTGGGAAAGAGATAAAATAACAGGTAACATTTTACTGGTCTTTTTGGAAAGAGCAATTGGCAAAATAAGGAGTTGAAATAATAGCAGATGTACTGGCTACCAGCTGTATTTGTAACAATATGCTTTTTGTGTATGATTTCACTTAGACATCATTGTAATTCTGAAAGGCAGATGCCATTATCCCATTTACAGATAAGGAAACTGAGGACTGAAGTTAAATAATTTGCCCATGGTTACATAGCCAGCACATGATGCAACTAGGATTTCAACTCGGGTAGTGTGTTGCCTCCCTGCTACCCCAGACCCTTCTAGTTTGAAACACTGGAATGAGCAGAATATATTGAGAGACTAGTCCTTCAACACTGAGGGATTTGGGAGGGAGTAACTTACCTTACAGCAAGGGCCAGGCTCAGGCAGCCGGCTGGGAGTCTAAGGAGCTCTGGCCGAGTTTACCCTTCAGGGGAATCCGTGGGTTGAAGCAGGAAGTAGACAACCTCGGTAGAATCATCAGTTCCTCATCTGACCCCTGACGCTGACTTCACCCTTGGCCTTGTACAAAGGCCAAGCAGGGCAGGGAAGGGTTTGGGGTGTGCACAGAGTGCAGACTTCACACTCGAGCGGTGCCCACAAGCACTTGCCCCGAGGGGTACACTGATGGCTGCATTTGCCCACAGCATTCTGGGCCCATTTAGCCTTTTTCCATCTGCTCACAGTACTCTGTGGCTGCACCCCTGTGGCAGGGAGACAACATCCCTTGTTAAAAATAAGATTTGGAAGGAGATCCTACAGAGACTTCAAGGTTTTAACTTCAAGCCTTTCACTTCAAGGTTTTTTGTTGTTGTTGTTGTTTTTGACAGCTGGCCTGAATGGGGATCTGAACCCTTGACCTTGGTGTTACAACACCAAGCTAGCTCTAACCAACTGAGATAACAGGCCCCCTAACTTCAAGGTTTTGAATGGTGTTCAAAACTGTAAGTCTCAATAAACTAGATGTAATTCACTGGGGAAAACATTTTAAAAACCTGTTATTTTGGGTTCATCCTCAGCAAAATAGAGGCAGATTTCAAAAGACTTGATAAAATATTGAGGACACAGGGTTCCTTAAAAACACATGAAATTTCTGATCATTTCAGACTCCTTTCTGGGGTGGAAGGGAAGGAAACCAACGTTTATTTTTAAGTACCAGGCTTCTTCCCACACATGTGAAAAAGTTCACAGAAAGATTTATACTATCTTTTAATTCCATTTTTCCACAAATTTTTCGAGGTACCCACGTATATTATATTTGTTTTAATTGAAGCAACACTGCCCAGTCATTTTACAGCAAGGGAAGCTGCACCTTGGTGAGGACCTTAGCCAAGGACAGTGACAGTTCTGTGCAGGGCAATCGGGAGCCAAGGTCAGACTGTCCCACTGCAGCGCACATAGAAAGAGCATCTGGCCTTGTGAGACCTTGGCTTTTAAAAGTAGCATATTGGAATTTTTCTAAAACCTAGTACTCCATGTAGAATTTACTGTTTAATCTAGAGCAGTGATTCTCAAACTTAGACATGCATTAGAAACCCCTTGGGGGCTCAAGAAAGCATGGATTGCTGGTCCCTGCTCCCAGGGCTTCTGATTCCACAGGCCTGAGTGGGTGCTGGGGTATCGCGAATGGGCTGGCTTGGGGTCACATTTCGCTCACGCTGGTGCAGTGGTTCTCAGCAGAGTGAAGTAACATGGTGCTTCACCAAGAGTCAAAACTCCTGGACCTGTCACTGAAGTCTTACGGCCTCAGTTTCCTTGTTAAAAACTGTGCATGAGCCCTGCCCCCTTCCTGCCTCCCTCCCAGGGTGGCTGTGAGGACCAAGATGCTGGATGAGAAAGCACCAGGACAACTGTGGGTCCCTCCACACACCTGCACCGGTAGCTTCTGACTCAGTTCAGTGTGGCTATATGGGAGGAAGAAAAAGGGGCTTAAGCCCAAACCACTGGTTTTTCTCTACTTGTGAAGTGTTCTTTAGCTTTTATAAAATCCTTAAAGCAAAGAACCTGAAGGATACATCTCCTGAAATAACCTTATCCTAGGGGGGTAGGGGAGCCTACGTCACATTCATGTGAGATTACATAGGCCCCCGTCTGGGCATTAAAATTCACATAACTTTTGATCTCCATCAAAGTTGCTGGGGGAGCTTTTAGCAGTTCTTGTGGCCTTCTGGTAGCTTCTTATATTTGTGACCATTAAACTCTTATTAAACATGCTAGTAATTTCA